CCTGCCTCTACGTGCACGTGAAGACGGATCATCTTGTCAAAGTATAACATTTCGCCCGCATGCACGAAAATATATGGGCTAACACGAACAATCCAGTATTCCTACTTTTCAAACCATGAAATTGCGAGCCTTGTAGTACATGTATACGATTAAAATTTCCATCCGTTTCATTTGTGCAATATATAAGTTACTCGAATTACTTTTTTTATGTATCAAATAATTCGAACATAAAAGACTTTCCTTGTTTACATTTTCAAAATCCTCCGTGATCTCCCGCGTTTCATTCGGTAACGTAATAAAAACGAAAAGGTAACGCGGCCAGAAGCGACCTCTGATGATGATGTCCGGAGAGAGATGGAGCAGAAATGACGCATGCGCACGAGTCATCGTATATCGTCCCGCCTGCGGACGAACCGAAATAAATCGAACGACGCCGAGCCGATCAGCAGTACGGTGCTCGCTGGATGCGACTGTTTCGCGTTAGTGATGATCAAAACGAGTTGTCGTCGTCGTTGTTTGTGGCATTCTGCGAAGACGAAGAAGCCGTGATCGGTGATCAAAAGCTCGAGACGGAGAAGAGGCCGAGGACACGCATCGTCGCTCGTTGCCGCGGCCACGGATGCATATGGAGGTGCGTAAACCCTTGTTTCGATGCACCCTCTTCTTATGCACGCGTTCTTTGTTTGCTTTGACAACACCGTGTACACTTTGTTCGACACCACAGCCATTTTCCTACGGTCTAGTGTGTTTTGTGAAACGCGACGTGTCCTGGACAACCGAAAGTGCAATGGTTCCGTTTACCACGGGAATTGTTATTGACGATCTCCGTGCTGAATCGAAGGATTATTACTCGGGAGACCTTTTGATATTATGCATTATTTCAAGTCTTTTTATATGAATAATTATATATTTAAAACATAATTGAAGAAGAAATATGTCCGTGCTGTTTTCTTTCGGTCTGTACATCAAACGACGCAATACTATTTTTTTTTTTCAAGTCCGTGTACATTCAGTGTGCAATCCCTCAGACCGCTAGAATAGCATCGTCTCAAGCTGAACAGGCTCGCGTGAGTTTGGGACGACAGTGAACTCTCCCTTGGAAACAGGCCGAAGATTAAAAGTACGTGCGCATACGGCATCGGACTTTGTGTACGCTCTCAGCTGACGGGGGCCTGTCAGCTGCCTTACACGAGAGAAGATCAGGGCCGTCGCTTTGTGGCGTTACTACGCGATTTTTCCCGTTACCTTGTTTCGTCTCGAATTTCCGAATCGATTCTTCGTTTTGATTTTACCTTTATCGTACACTTTAATTAAAAGCTTTCCACTTGGTAACAGTGCACAATCTGCCATATCGAATAGCTCTGTCGTCACGTCCGCACGTGTGCATTGGACAAGATTCTTTTATTCCCCTGTTAATTGGTCATCGTGTACCTATGTTCGCATACTCCTCCGATACATAATTACATTTAATCGACTCGTGGGTGTATTTTTTTTTGTAATGCATTTTTTTATGTTTTATTTTTTCGATTCTCGATATGGTTTTTAGCCTATTACAATGTCAACGACATCGTAATAAGCGTGCTCGCGACGATAAATGTCGGCAATACTTAACCGGCAATGTCACCAAGATAATGCGCGCCGTCTTGTTTTGTACACACTCACAGCTGATTCAACTGCCTCGTCATAAAAACGTTCAAACTGTTATCTTTCGGTACGCTCGTACCCTTTCGACGACTATTTCTCGTCGTGTATGTGGAATGGCTTCGATCGCTCTGAAAAAACCTACATAATACCCAGCGTAGAGCTCTGTGGAAAGGCTAAGAGCGGTAGAGAGAGAATTGACGTAACGCCGCGTTGCTTCTTCGTCTGTGTTTCCACCAAACTTCCATTGATTTTTCTGTCGTAAATATTTGGCGAAGTTTATACACGCGCGTCGATTCTTGTTTCTTTTTTTTTTTTTGCTATAAAAAACGCATCGTTGACGGGAAATGATTCGAAAGAGGCTACATCCACCTCTACCTATATCGATCGCAATTTGACTACGGGTTTCTCGAGTCGGTCGAGCGCCTTTCGAATTTAATAGACCGAGAACTACCACGTTCAGTATGTGACGTGTGTACATACACAGAGTGCATATTAAGATGCTATTCGCTTTTGAAAAGCGACATCCATCCGTCCAGGACGCATCCATGGAAAATTAAATATGCACGACAAGTGACGAAGGACGATGACCCGAATTAACTAAACTCGAAGCTGCTGCTGCTGCTGTACACCGCTTGTTCCTCTCCCGGTGTTTATTTAAGTTGCAGTGGTGTAGCCTCGCGCGATTCCTGTCTAGTCACAGCAGCAGCAACAGCGAAGCTGCTTTATAGGAGTCGCGTCGCGCAACGAAAGTTCTTCGCTCGTTCCTTTGGTAACCACGTACTATACCTCACACTAATACACGCGCGCGTCTGTTGCACACGCGTACCAATTTTGCTTTTCCACGAGAAAGTGCTTCCGTGATATTAAACTTTGAACGTGCATCCAAACAACACGAAGTATGCTGTACATCGAATAATACCACTATGCCTAAAGGAATATTATGTGTCTATGTGCAGTATATCATGTCACCTAATTAATCAATTTCACGGAATGTAAACTTTCGAATAGAATTCACGTGCACCTATGGCCGTCTTTGTAAATCGTTATGTAGCGTTATTTAAATTTTCAAAAAGGAGAAACTATCCTAATTAATGGCTAATTAGTGGCTAATTGTTATTGGTCGGTTGTAATGCGTTACGCTTCAGCGCGTCCAATTTATAGGACTTTTCTAATCCGTCGAAACGGAAGTGCACCCCATCTATGGTATTTTAATGGAACTAATATTTCCTTCGACCATGTTAAACCTATATATGCACTTTTCCGTTTTATGTTTAAAACGGCGTCGTCGTGGACCTGTTGGACGACGCTTTTGTGTACGTTTACAGCTGATTGGGCTGTCAGCTGGGCTGCGCGGCGATAGATAGAACCGTCTCGCAGGCAGGCAGGCTGGCCAACGCACGTTTCAGTATGCTCCGAGGGGGCCTTGTTTTTCTCCTATTTTTTTTTTCTTCTCTCTTCGTCATTTCTCAGCGGAGGCAGGCACTGCTTACGACCAACCAGGGCAATGGCTCTTGCAATCTTTAAACTTATCCCTGCTGCAAGTTATCCATGGTTGTTGGGATGAGGTGAAGGGTTATATACGCGTAGCGTGTGTGTGTATAAATACACTTGCATAAATATATGTATATGGTCGTGCATTTGGACATCTATAAATAATCTTCGCTACCGTTTTTTACACAGATACTATTTTTACTGTGTATTCGGTAATGCAACGGACATACTCGTACATAATGTTGATTTATTAATGACTCCCTGATAAATATACATTTCAGAATTGTTTCTCGGTAAATGTCTACAGGGGGTCGATGTTTAATACAAGTTGTGTGCACGGAAGATAATGTCGTATTATAGGAAAATTGTTTTGAAAAACATTTTTTAATTCTCCGAATGTATCATACGTTAGTCACATTAGTTGGAGAAACGTGACAAACCACGGAGATTCCCATTCATGATTCGCGGAGCGATTCGTCGCAGGTAAACTTCCGTTAGAAACGTGCTTTATTACCGTGTCGGGGACTAACGTATTATTTTCTTCGCGCGCACTTGATTAAACTCGTCTCTCATGGTGGTGGGGATTGCGATCAAAAACCTCGCTATCATTTATCACTCTGCCGCCGCTGGTTCGTTGTACGTGC